TTTTTTTATAACATTTTCAGCCAGAAAAAGTATCAAAAAATTAGTTTAAAAATTATTTTCTATATTAATAGCAATGTTATAAAAATGGTGTCAAACATGGGAACACACTAACATCAGAGTTGCTAATACAAAACTTTAAATTACCCCATTAACAACTTCAAATTATATAAATGTCCAACATTTTACTTTTTATTTGACACAAAATATAAAATTTGTAATTACTTTCGTAGAATAACAAAAACAAAAAAAAAGCCGCTCAGGCAGAACGTTTATTTATTTACTCTACTGTCGGGAAAATCGATATTGCTTTCTGGAAATTCGATTATGCTACACATAAAAATAGCACAAAAGCTTTATCAGAAGTATAACAAAATCGTAAATAATTGATTTTATAGTTTTAAACATTTAGAGTAATAACAGATAATATTTCCGTTTTGTAGAACACTAAATTACCCAACAAATTACTTAATCTAAAAATTGTCCGACAGTACACAAAATTAAACGAAAATTAGATAATTATACGAACATTGGCAATACTGATAATAAACGACTCATTATATATACAGTCTACATATTATGTGCACAGGAGCAAAGCTGAAATTTTAGTAGTCCTCTTGCATTTAAACATTTTGTATCAGAGACCTAAGAGTGAAAGCTACTTCGCCCCTTTTTTCGATTTTTATTTATTATTCCATGGTTATCTAATGACTAAAATATGTATTATTGTATTGTTAATTATTCTATATTATTTAAATGAATCAACTTATTATATTTTAATATTAACTTAAATCTTAATAGAACGAAAGTTCTAGTGTACATACATTGTCTTTATTCTAACAAGCAACATTTTGCTAGAGAGTTGGGATGATATGTGGACTTAGTATATAATAATGGACGAATAAAAGCACTTACTTTTTTCAACATTCTACTGGTCTGCGAAAATGATTTACGGGCACCATTTCATACTTTTAAAAATAAATTTCCTCCCTGGTGTAGATGACATCTCTTTTTTAACAGTATGCAAATATCCATATCGGTGTTACGTGACGCTCCCTACAAATTTTGTGTACAAAAACTCGCTCTCTCTGCGAGATGGAGTTCAAGTGAGTTTACTCCAGAAATTTTTGACATTAGCGATACGCCCAGCATCTTTGTCGGGCTATGATTTTTTCCAAATTCTCTCATTTTATCGGTTTCTTGAATACAGCTGCAAATATTTTATGTGTTTGGAAATTATAATATAGATTTAGGCAAAACGACTACAGTTACAGACATATCCTCTAAATGATCCACAGAAAATAGGTATAAAATAGAATAGAACAGAGTTTCATTGTCATGGGTAGAATATATAAAATTTCAAAACAATTTTGCCACAGAATAGTGGTTTGAACGCGATACATTTTATAAAGCTCTCATTACTTTTTCTGTGCCACAAATCCTTTGTTTATTTGAAATCTAAATAATAAACTATTTCGAAGCTTCAATACATCAAAATTAACAGTATCTCTTACGTTTCTGATAACTTATCAACATAAGCTTATTTATTGAGTTACATTGTCTATGTGAGTATTCCACGTTAGCTTCGGCTTTAAAGAATATATAAGCAAACTTCCGGACTCAGATAGAACATATAAAAATAACATGATAAGTTTCTATATATTTTTTTTCTACGACCCCCTTTTCGGAGATATGCATAGGGATCACGACACTCGATTTGGGATACTCGATCTCGATTAATCGACTGAAATGTTTAAAATTTATTCATGACTTTCGAATAATCGTCTCGATTCGACCGCAATTACTCGACTGCTTAGAAGGGGTAGAGTAGTACAATTTTGAGGTTAAGTTTAAGAAACAAAAACAAAAATGCTTCCTATTGTTCACCAAGTTTTATTAGAAAGACAACGTCGACGAGAAAATTTGGCCTTAATAAGAGATTGACGTTTGTTACGACGGAACAGCGATCCTTTTCTTCTTGTGGATAGACGTTTTATTGAATTATTTTGCCTCAATAGTCTTACGAATTAATAGACACTTTACGACCTCATCTACACCAAAGACAAGATTTTAGGGGCATATCAATTGATAATATGGTTTTATGTGCCTTAAGGTTTCATGCTACTGGTTCATATCAAAGATGTGTTGGTCAAGAGTATATTTTTGGAATGGCTCAGAGTAGTGTGCACAAAAAATATGTTCATATTATCACCAATATCACTAAAATAAAATGTCCAACTGCAAATGAACAAGATATTATTATTTCTGTTTTTAAATTGTTCATTTATTAGTTACAGGCATTTTATCTGGTTCCTGTACAAATTTCCTATTTCATTTCTTAATATTTTTACCTTTTTCTTTTAGCCTGGCTATATCTAGATGGTTTAGTTCGAGTTATATCTAAAGAAGTTTAGTTCAAGCTGTATCTAAGAAGTTTAGTTCGAGTTATATCTAATAAGTTTATTCCGAGTTCTATCAAGAAGTTTATTTCAAGTTATATCTAAATAGTTCATGAAGATTTGTATCTAAACGATTTATATCAAGAAGTTTATGAAGATTTATACCCAAAAGTTTGGTGCCATCCGAAGACCGAGGTTTGGTTCACCTATAGAAGATCGTTTGAGTCCAGAATAAGAATCCCTTTGAAGAAGGCCTAGAATTCCATACAAATCACCCTAACATAACTACCTCCTGTTATATCAGATACGTTTTTATTTTTTTAATAAATCATCTAAATTTGAATTAAGTAAGTCTCTGTGAATTAGAATTTGTTACTGCCTTATCTAAAACTTGGTTTAAATATAATATCTTAATGGTTAGTGATTTTCTATATTTTTATCACTAATCTATAGTCAAGTATAATAGGTTTTAAATATAGTGGTGCCCAACTTCTTTTTTAAGGTAATACGAGTTATTTAACAACCTGACCCACTCCCAAAATCAATTGAGCTTAAAACACTATAACAAATAGATAAAATAACAAGTATCACGTTATAACATTTCATTTGACTAATTTAGTTTTCCAGGGACGGACGGAATAGTTTCAACACAATAATTTTAATATTTTTTAAACCCTGCATGATAAAGACACAAACATATTTTTGGACAGCTTAAACCTTAAACTAAAAAAAAAGGTACCCTGGATCAATGTCGATAAAATGATTTGTTTTCGATTAAAATCGTTTTCTGCATTGTTGGTCACTGATAAAAAATATTTTGTTATTGCTATGGTTTTTTAACATGTACCCATTTAAATAAGAACAATTTAAAGCAGTTTGCTAGTATTGGTCTTTATCTTAATTAATTAATAAAGTAAATGGTATTTATGAGTAAAGATAATGCTGACATGGCATTTAATGTATGGGCTTGCATCTTGTAACGCCTTAGAGGCCAGAAGACTTTATGAAGAGAGATAGGTAAAAAATACGGTGTTCTATTTGTTACTTATGCTTACCGATTGATAGACATTCAATGTAAAGTACCAAAAATAATTTTAGGAAAGTTTGAAAAAGCCAGTCACAATTGAAGAATTGAAATGGATCGCGGTGAGGGTGTCGAAAAAAATATTTTACATGCCGTAGAAAATAATTCACCTACAAGTGTCCAAAAACTGGCTGCCCAGTTTGATTGTCCAAAATCGACGATCTCCAGAATCCTTAGAGAGCAACATTTGTATACATTTCACCTTCGGAAAATGCATGGGTTCCGTTCTATTTACGAACGAAACTAAAGTTTCTAAACACCGCATTATAAACCCCCGTCATTTGCATTTATGGGGTAAGGAAAATCCACATGCTTTTATTGTAGCTCATTATCAGCATCAATATGAACCTGTCAACGTGCGGGCAGGAATCATCGATCAACATTTAATTGGGCCATTTGTATTGCCAAGAAGGTTAACTGTAGAACTTTATTTGCAATTTCTTTAAAACAATTTTTAAGAAAATATACCTTAGGCAATACGACGTGATATGTGATTCATGCGTACTGGGGTCCCCCACATTTAGGGGAGTGTTCGAGAATACTTAAACAGGAACTTTAGAAATCGATGGAGAGGAAGAGATGGACCAGTGCCTCGATCTCCACTATTACCTGACCCAATTCTCTTTCTTTTTGTAATGATATTTAAAAAAAATTGTCTATGTCAATCCATATGACAGTAAAGAAAATTTATTAGAAACGATTAACCTCCATTATGGCGGAATATAGAATAATCTTGGAATATTGTGGAGAGTCCAACAATCTTTAATTCTTAGAGCTAGGGAACACATACGATTGATAGGTGCTTATATTGAACCAACATACAAAATTGTGCAATAAATACCGTCAATAGATCATACCCACAAAAAATATTTCAATGACAACCACTGTAAAAAAACCATTTTAAACGAAAACCAATCATTTTATCGATATTGATGAGTACCTTTATTGGTTTGAGATGTCCAAAAGTGGTGTTTTTGTGTTTTTATCATACAGAGCGTGAAAAATACCAAACATTATATCGTCAGATAAGAATGTTAACCTGCTAACTCCACTTTTGACCAATTTAGTTTTAGTGAAGTATTTAAACGTAGAGGGCATTCTGCATTGACCAGAAATACCGCCAAATCAAAATCTGAAAGAAAAACTTCTGAAAGTTCAATGTGCGTGTACCGCCTAACTCTAAAATAACAATTTTAAAACAGCTATCTCCTGTTTGAGTGCATTTAACAGGTAACACGTTAGAATACGTTCTAGTTAATCGTTGTTTTAATTATAATAACATCATTCTTTTAGTTTTCACTGGCCCAATATAATAAAGGTAAGTTTTTTATTTGAACTGTGCTTCATTTTTACTGAATTTTATCTTCATAAATACTCTACACTACTGTTCATATAAATTTGGGAGTTAGCTGTTTTTCTTACGATATATTGTGATAAAATTTGGGATGATAGCAATTTTTTTGGCAATACTGTTTTTCTTGAGCTCTTTCAAGTTAATCTTTTTGTTATTTTATTTCCAGATGTCACAACGCATAAAAAAAATTATGGAGTTAACTATCCAACCAAATAATATTATTATTAATGTTAATGATAATCTAGAAACGGCATATAATGTGGAAATTGCTGACTTCCACATTGAAGCAGACTTGAATTTGACAGTTGGTTTAAACAATGATACTACTTTTCCAACAGCAGCTAATATTTCCAAAAGTAATACATTTACAGTAGCAGTCGAAAATACAGGACATCGCAGAATGTGATACAAACAAAGATGCAGATTATATTATGCCATTCGAAGATATAAACAATACTAGAGAGCTGTCATATAGCCACGTAACTTCTGTAGCTAGAGAATTTTCGTCAACTAAAGAAAATGACACCGAATCTATATCTAGCTATTCTACTTCTATTACCAATGAACAACTTCCATCAACATCAGCATAACATTATTTTCTCAACCCTAACGCAATTAACGACCACGACTTATATTATAAAAGTGATAACGAAACTAATATCGAATCAATTTCTTTAGCAAGCTGTTTTACTAATATTATTGTGAACAACTTCCATCAACATCAGCTATAGTACAAAATAAGTTTCAGAACCGGAACATAATTAACGAACACGACATAATATTTAATGATAGTGAAAATGATCGAACTTTCGTATCTTACTCTGAGCATTCAGACTCTGTTAATTCGGTGGATGATCACCTTCCTATAAAAAGAATAAAGGTAAGAAGCGTTTTCACGTAAAACAAGATACATGGTTTTGCGAAAAAAATAAGCTTCGAAGAGAAAGGGGTAAATCATACTTTGGAAAACAGAAAAGTGAAGAAAAGTGGAACTACGCTGTTTAAATAACACCTAGGGAAATGAAAAAAGATGTACCTGTAGAGGAAGAGATAAGTCTTTAATACAATGTGCCATTCTCCTTGAAGAAGTTAATGAACTATCAGAGCATGTCGAACGATGTTTTTAAATACACTTTCTATTGGTAGGTGGACAATTCTTAACTTGAAAAATACATCAGTTTCCTACCCCCTCAAAAAAACTCAGTTCTTATCGTGAATACCAGAATAAAAAACAGACCCATTCGAAGTAGAATATCTATCGCTATTAGAATTTATAGATTCTCTACCGCCCATCGAATCACATTATTGCCGATCCACCACCAAAAAATACTTGATGGCTGAACGGAAGTCAAAACAAGCGCTGTATAAATGTTATGTTGAAGATTTGTGCAAGACTCGAGATGTGACTCCACTTTCAATTTCATCTTTTAATACCGCATTAAACTTGCGAAATATTGCTCTGTTTCGTCCCAACAAGGACGAATGTGAGAAGTGTGCGGAAGTTGGTCAAGTTTCGGAAATTGATTATCAACTACAATCATTAAAAAATAATGAGGCCAGATTAGAAAAAAAAAATGATACTAGGAATGAAACGTACATTTTTACCGAAACCGAATGTCAGTAGCTGAAGATTTTGCTACTTGTTTTCCTTATTTTATTGAAATTCAAGTTCTACCGACTATTGACACAAACGCAGACCGTCCAAAAAATATAATTTATAGTAATGGCTGCACGTATCAAAATAGAAATAACGTTATCGCAAATGCAGCTTTAAACTTAATCATGGACAACATAAGAATTGTAGAAAAATACCTTGAGGTCGGGCATACACAAATGGAGGTAGACGCAATGCATTCTACAATAATTAAAAGATGTATTAGAAACCGAACTATTAATGTCCCAGCGGAATATGCATATATTTGCAGAATAACCAGGAAGAAACATCGACCGTATTTTGTCAAATATTTGGATCACACATTTTTTAAGTCTCTTAAGGAAGTTAATTTTGTAAGCAGTATTAGACCTGGATGAAAAAAAGGGGATGCTAAGGTACATAAATTCAATAACTATTACATAACTATACTTTTTCTGTTTTAGGTTACTGATATTAGGGCCCTTAAATTTACCTCAACTGGAATATTTTATAAGCTTAAATTTACAGACCAATGAGAAACTTTAAATCAACTCAAAAAGAGAGCAAAACAGCCTGTCCTTTGAATCAATTAGATAATTTATATCCAGAGAGACTGAAAATTAAGGCTAGGAAGTTCAACGATTTGCAGGAGTTAAAAAAAGTTTTGTATGTTGATTTTCATGAATATCGTCGGTGAAAGTGCAAAACCTCTCTCACAAAATTTTAGAGGAAATAGAAATAACATCCTTAAGTTAGATACAAGACTTTTTTTGCATATTTTTCTGAACTGTATTGAAGTATATTATGATATTAATGATGTTACTTTTTGATTTTTGTCTATTTCATCTATATTTTTTCAATAGTTTTGTGCAACAATTATATATTCTTTTTCAGGATACGAGCAATTGTACTTACAGTGTTTTAACTAGGATTCAATTTAATTAAATATTGTATTAAATCAAAAAGTACGTTTATTACAAAAAGACAAACATTAAACGAACGGAATGAAAATCCTAAACATTTATTCTTACAGAACAAAATTTTTCATTGGGATTGGGGATTTTTATGATAATTAACCTCATTAGTAATAATGTCAATGAGGTAAATTATCATAAAAATCCCAAAACTTTTTGTCAAGAACGATTTTTAAACTTTGTAATATTTCTCTTTTTTAATTTTTGGCTGGGATTTGTATAACAACGGAATATGCATGGATATTTTATTGTTGGCAGACGTTCTCTTTGGTAATGCTTCATAACTATCTCTATAATTAATGTTTTATAATATTTCTCCAGTTGGTGAGTATTTATAGGAACACACATTAGTGACCAAAGGCTCGCCAGGCTTACAACCTCTGATAAATGGATAGAAATGGATATTTTTAAAATCCTTGAAGTCCGTGTAGCTCATGTATCTTACATTGTAAGGTTATCCTCTTTTTGATTCCTTACAAACTGCAATGTAGTCGTGAGGCAAGTAAATATCACGATTTTTAAGCCGCCTTTCAATCGTACTATGGACATAGTCAACCTCCATCTGAGTGTGTCCCTTCTAAAGATAATTATGAGTAATAGTAACTTTATTTTTCATGGCAAAATGGAGGAGAGCATTTGAAAGTGTGGCATTCTTATTTTGATAACCACATCCATCGCTATAGATTCTGAATTCTTTTGTTGAATGATTTTCCAAGAGATAATTGGAGAAAAATTCTGACAATATAGTGGAAAATATATTAGCGTCCAGTTCTCCTTGAAATTCTTCCCAAAGGTAACAGATTACATCCATAGTGGCCATGTTATAAATTGTATAATTATGAACGCAAAGCTTCGTTTTGTAATAAATTGCATTGGCTTGGAGAACTGGAGATAATTTCACTCCTTGTACATCTACACAAAAAGCAGCTATATCTTTGGGGTTACTAATGGCTTTGTCTTTATCTTAATTTTTCGAAATTCTAGCCTGTTCTTTTTTTCCTGGTGCTTTAAATATTCCTTATCCGAAATATTTTTCAACTGATGGGAAATACACAAATCGCATTGGTCCTTTCTCGGCTTATAAATTTTGACATTGGCTCTCTCCATCTCTTCTATGAACACTGTTTTAGGAAAAAAGCCTTTCTGACTACTTTGGCAATAGTTTTTATACTCCCTGTAAAATTCTGCTTTATTTTTGAAAACTGGCTCCAAATATAACTTATTTGTACTAGCACGACAATAATGCGATTCCATTTTAGGGACGTGTGAAAGAAATTTTTTCAAAACCAGTCTTGAACCATCTATACTTTTTCTGTTTCTATCAGGTGTTTGTACATTTCCTGCAGGCATGTTCATTTCATTGTCTTTTTTAGCGCACTGTCTAACCATCCATTCTCCTACATTTAATGTTGACAAAAACATCTTCTTGAAGACCTTCTTTTTCTATGTTTCTTTTTTCAAATAGTAGTGAAGAGTACCACTTCTTCTGGATCCTTCTACTTTTCATCTGCTAAGGACCACATCGACCATTTTACTCAAAAAAGTTTTCTTTATATCCCATGTCAGCTCCCAGAATAACTTGAAAATTTGTTTTCTTTTATCTTCTTTGAATTCATTACAAAATATGGATTTCGAAGTTCTGCATTTCTGAGAGTAACATCCAGGTTTCAAAGAACGTTCATTTTCCTGAGCCATTAATTTGAAGTGTCCATCATCATCCTTTTAAGGCTTAAATACTCTTCGCCATGCATTCTAGATCTTTTGTTTTAATCTCTGGCTCTTCTTGTTTGAGGTAACTTTCGCTTAAATGTCCTATTTTCGTCATCTGCTTTTTGTTCTATTTCTCCTTCTACTACATTATTTTCGGTGTTTTCTGAACTAGAGCTCTCGGATGTCTCTACAAAATCTAGATCTATTAAGCTGTTATCTGACATTTCCGAGCCCGCAAAACTCTTTCCAACAGATTGACTTCCTGATTTGGAGTATATTTCTGTAATGCTAAGCTGGAATATTCCTCAACTACCATGTTTTCATCATTTTCTGTCTCGCCCATAATCTCTGCTCCATTGTTATTAACTTCCTGGCCTGTGGCGGGTGGCGGTCTCATTGTTGCCAGTATTTACGATATCATTATGATTTTGAATTTCTGGAACATTTATTTCTGGATATAAATTACTGTCTAAGAACTGATTTCTGTTTGCTTCTGGTAGATTGCCAAGTTTTTTAACTCTGCAATTTCAGTTTGTAATGAAAAACTCTCATCATCAGGTAAAAAAATTATTGGAATTTCATCTAGGTTCACAGAACTTGGACATTTTGCTTGATAGTCTTCCTTTCCCTGCGCAATATTTGCCACATTTTCTACAGCCTCAGAATCCTCAGAAGTTTGGAAACTTAAAGCACCCAATTGTACCAAATATCTGCCTCTGGAAGTTTGTCTAAGCCCCAATTTAAATTTATCTATAATTTTGAAGTAATGGTGCAAAACCTCGTATTTGCAAATTCTGAAAAAAAAAAAAAAAATAAATTGAGTATTATAAAGTTTTATACCTAGTAATAAAGCAATTAGTCAAGATTTTAATATGAAAGGTTCTAGTGAGGCACCTGTTTAGTGAAAAAGATAATTGATTATTTAAAAATATTATAACTTGATATGTTACAATTAAACGATTGTTATTAATTTTTAGAGAAATACTACAATAAAACATAACTTACCTCAATGTTTTCCCATTCTCACAATAAGTTCACATAATAAGCTTTTACTAATAATGGCCACTATAATTAAAATAAAACAAAAAAAGTAAATTTGGCTTTCGGCACTATCTGATGTATCATCACAGACTTAAAATAACGAACAATGACATACACAAAATGACGTGAAGTATTGTGATGACGTACAATAACTCGTATTTGAACGCTGTTGTCAAATACGTGTTTTTGTGCGTCAGATGTTCAAATACAAGGAATTGCATATCGCTAAAGTAAAAATATTGACAATATTGACTAATACAGGACTTTGTACGTATGTGCGCAGACATGCACAGTTTCCAATAGAACAATAAAGCGATTTTCGTCAAAAGTTGCAAATACGAGGTATTGCATTTTCACCGACGATATTATGTCATCATTCCGCACGAATGATTTGATTTTTTTTTATTTTTATCTATTATACGTATTATATATTTTTTTAAATAAAGAATTTTAAATAAAGTTAAGTTTATAAAGATTAACTCTAGTAAAACTTATTCATACCAAGTGAAAAAAACCTGCCAACACCATATTTGTATAACAACTTATTTGTATCCTAACTGGTACATCCATTTCATTGTTATAAACATTCTATTGCCGTAAATTTTAGGCTATAAGTATAATAAATAATTGAAATTGCGTAGATTCTACTAGATAGAAAAATGCTGTATCATAGTTTTTATTTTTATGCAAATAATATAGTTTTTCTTTGTTCCTGCAAGATTTATTTTTTGTTAGTTATCAGGTTAACACTCTTAACAGACGATATATCTTCATTTTAGTTACTATTTGTGTTAATTTATCTTCCATTTTAAGTAATACGAGATTTGATCCACTGCCATCGCACTTATAGTAGATTTTTACTACTAAATACATATTGAATGCCTCGCAACATTCTAAAATGTTCAAGATAATTTACCGGATTATTGTTTATATTACTGGTTGAGCTTTTATTTTTATAGACAGGAATTCCTTTAAACTAGTTTATTCCGGAACAGCTAAAGGTTCAGCAATCTAAGTGACTAATTTTAGGATTTTATAATTTTTTAATTTCATCAACATCTTCAGCAGATTTTAAGGTGTTTTCTGAATAATGGAGATTATTTATATAAGCTTCTACGTAAATTATCTATTTATATACACACCCCACAAAAATTATCGCATCACTAATAGTTTTCAAAAATTTGGAGTTTTTTTTTGAACCGTTTGATTGATTTGGATATTCTTTTTTTGGAAGATAAGTTGATTCTTCAGGAATAGTAATCTCTT